GCCCATTAAATACACTCTGTGAAAACACAACAGGGTGCATCCATGAGGTCTCACAAACCACAACATTATGTGTACCCCTGAACAACCCGAAACCACCCAAATGTCCTTCAGTAAAGGAATGGTCAGGCAAACTAAGGTACAGACACACTATGGGAGAGCATATAGCAGTAAAGGGTAATGTATTTCATCTTCTGAAATAAAAGTGAAGAGACATCCAAAAAGTATTGAAAAAGCAAGAAAAACAAGTTACAATGTAATTTTTTAAGAAGTAGTTGGACACAATACCTTTATTTTATTTATTTTTATGTGGTGCTGAGGATCGAACCCAGGGCCTTGCATGTGCTAGACGAGAGCTCTACCACTGAACCACAACCCCAGCCCTACAATATAATTTTTAAAATCTACTTTTAAAAAATATTCAAAATGATGCCCTAGATTTTCAGAGACAATAGGTATATGTATAAAAGAAGAAAATAAAAATGAGGGAGGTTGTGCAAGCACACACTTTGAAGCCAAGATGTTGTCCCCTTGGAAGCATTGAAAAGATGACCAGGACTAGAGGGTGAAGGATTAAGGAAGGGAATTAGCCTTTTTTTTTCTAGAATGTGTTAAGGAGAGTATTTGCAGACATTATCTGTGTAAATAAAATGCTGGTTTGAGTGGGTTATTTCATTTATGCACTGTGCGAAAGTGGGTGAGGCAGAGCATTAAATGTGGCTGCAGGGGAAGTCCAGGGCAGGATGGTGCCTCCCAGGCCAGATGAGGAGACCACACCACAGAAGAATGACATCATCATATTTGTTTTTAAAACAAAATATTAGAGCCTAAGTCCTTAAGAACATGAAATAACTAAAATCTTACTCCCCCCCCGCCCCCCACAAATAGTAAAACCTTTCATACATCTCTCAAAGAAACCAAAAAATCTAGTAGACTAAATAGAATGACGGCCACAGAGGATTTGAGTGGCACAGTTGATGAATGCTAACAACGCTCATTTACTATCGGGACACACCACATCTTCCTTTTCAAACACATGAACTAATCACAAAATATTGACCACAAAATCACCGTAGATTTCCAGAGCCTAGAAATAATACAACCCGTAGTCTGTGACTCCAAGGCACTGGAGTTAGACATTAGCAATGACGAATAGCCCCAAATGAACACTACTAAAAGGGCTACCCACCTTAACATGGCTTTTTCAACACACGGTGATTAGAACAAGGGGGCAAACTTCTCAAAACAAACCAAAATGGATACTAACTGAACTCCTTACATCAAAACAAATTGCAGATAGATCAAAGATTTGAAACTTTAAAAAGTACTAAGAAAAACAAGATAATTTTTGAAATGATTTTGCTGATGAAAAACTTTTGCAAATATAACAGAGAAACTAAAAGCTACCTAAGATTGATTTTGTCCTTAAACAATAAGTAAAATATTTTGAAAAAGTAACCCAAACAAAATTTAAAGTAAACTTTGCAGTAGGGAAAAAAACAGCAACATACATGATTTTTAATGGGGGAGGGGCTAATTTTCTTAAGTTTCCTGTAAGTCGTTTTTTTTTTTTAAACGAAAGAGGCCATTAACCACAATACACAAGCAAGTAAGGATCACAAGACGACAGTTCACAGAAAAGTACCGGTAACTTTCAATTTTAAGACAAACAGATTTTAAGCCTTTGAAAAGATGTTCAATTTCTTTTCTGTTTTTGAGATGGGGCCTAGCTATGGTGCCCAGGATGGCCTCAAACTCAGGATCTGCAGCTTTAGCTTCTCAAGAAGCTGGGAAAATAGGTATAAAAAAAATCTTGCCCAGCTAAAATGCTCAAGTTCATTTACAATAAAAAAAAACATATTGAAATTATTACAATAGGCCATTTTGGCAAAGTACAAAAATTACAATACACAGTATTGAGATGGTGGAAATAAAAACACGTAGGTATAATGTGTTGTTGTTTTTCCAGTACTAGGGATTGAGGCCAGTGGCCAATGAGTACCACTGAATTATGCCCCCAGCCTTTTTAAGTCTAAATTTTGAGACTTCTTGACTCAGCCTCTGGAGTCACTGGAATGATAGGCACACATCATGATGCCTAGTAGGTAAGTATAATTTGGCCTTCTCTGTTGAAATATAAAATGAACCTGGAACCTACAATTTCAGGATTCTGATTTAATTTCCTACATCCACTTAAATATAAGTGTACTAAAAATCAGTACACTTACATTGCAATATTAGTTGAAATAACAACTGACCCAAAACAACTGTTTATCTGCATAAGAAGGGTTAAGTATGCTAGCATACACAAGGGAACTCGATTCAGCTATTAGACAAGATGGGAAGATAGGTTGTATATTTGTTGATCTACATAATGAATTAATTTGTATATTCACAGATTATTTGTGTATTCCCGGATTTCTGACTCACACAGGAGTCAGTGGTACCTGAGGAAAGCAGAGCTGTGGACCTGCATATGTATGTGGGGAGAGTGGGGGGCGAAGTGAAAGTGAAAATTTTTGAAGTGCTTTTTGAAAATTCTTTGCCCCTTTGCACCGTTTTACCAACTTCAATTTTGACCAGGTGCCTGCATTATGTGTTCTAAATGTACTTACACTTAAAATCTCTGAAAGACCTATTTTCATTTGTATGCTACAAGATATAAACTATGTCCAGTTCTGTTTGATAGCATTAAATCAACTGTTCTTAAATTTTTAAATCAATTTTAACCTCTGTTGAAGTCCAAAGACAAATACCTAATAATACCTATATTTCTAGAATTATTTTAGGAATGCAGATCACATTCAAGGGATAATGCAGGCTTTCTCAACAGAGAGATACCTTTGGAATAAAGCAAGAAATAATCAAGAGAGAATGAGGGTCTGGGGATGTGACTCAAGCGGTAGCACGCTCGCCTGGCATGCATGCGGCCCAGGTTCGATCCTCAGGACCACATACAAACAAAAGATGTTGTGTCCGCCGAAAACTAAAAAATAAATATTAAAAAAATTTTCTCTCTCTCTCTCTCTCTCTCTCTCTCTCTCTCTCTCTTTCTTACGCTCTTTAAAAGAGAGAGAGAGAGAGAGAGAGAGAGAGAGAGAATGAGGACCATCTCAAGAATGAGAAGCAACCCACCTTTCACTCCCTTTCCTACCAAATATTTTATTCATATACATTTTCCATTATGTTTGAACACATCACATTTCTGCTGTATAAGCAGGTTTTGTCACTAATAATATTGCAGGAATATTGTGATATCTTTATTTTTTTCTTCTACAATGTGAATTTCAAATTCATAAAGCATTTAATGTATGGATGGACTATGATTTACATAACCAGTCTCTTGTTACATTTAAAATGATTTTAAGATGCAAATCTCTGAATACATCTCTAATTATTTTCTTAGAATAATTTCCTGGAAGTAATACTATCAGGTCAAAAAGGAGTGAACCTTTTTAAGATTCTTATTACATATTCAACAGCATTTTCTGACATCATACAATATAAAAAAAATAATATGTTCCAAGGCTGCAGTGACATGATGTGTGTGTTTTGACACTTGTCTCCTGTGGCCATCTTAGCTCACTCATCTCATTACCTTTGCAATAATATGGCAATGCTTTTTAAGCGGATTTTCTATCAAATCATAAATGACATTTAGCAGGGAAAATGCCTAGGAGGATTAGATATATTTAAACATTTAGATATACTCTATGTATGTATGGTATGTCAAAATACCTTCTACTGTCGTGTATAACTATTTAGAACAAGAAAAAGGGGGGGAGAATAAATAAAAAAAATTTTAAAAATATCAAGATTTTTAAAAAATCTTTACAGCAGATGCTATAAAGGTTCAGATTTTATTCTAAAATGTTACAAGTGAAAGGCAGTGAGGGAATTCAATGAAGAAAGGCTAATAATCATAATATTTTAATGGCTAAAATTACAAAACAAAAAAAAATCTTAAAAGTTAAAAATAACCAAACCTACAAAAGCAGGAGAATTTAATAGATTCACTCTAGCAAAGAGCAGGTCTGAGCCTAAGGAGCCAGGGCTAGAAGTTGAATCAAACCCTCAGGCTTTCATTCCAGAGTCTGGACTCTGCCACTGCCTTACCAGTCACGATGAGGATGAGGCCTGCTAATCTCATTGAATAACCGTGCAGCATCCCAGCTCCTTAGTGATTTGGACAACTACCTCAAAGTGCAGGGGAAGAGGACAAAACTCACATGACAGAAGTCTGTCTGTCATTCAAAGCTTGAGAATCTCTGAAAGATCTTCTCAGGGCCAAACTCTAAAGGGATACTACTGCTACTGTTTCCAGTTCTGGGTGACCCCCCAGACCATGAGCTCCCTAGAACCTAACAAACTTCCCCTCTGCACACAAACACTACAGACACCAGGGCCCTGAGCCTAGGGTACTAATGAACCAGTAAAGGCAGTCAACCCTCAACAAAATTTATAACTAACCCTGTCATTTGTAAACCAAATGCAATTTATAACTTCACCTGTAAAATGCTTAATCCTTCAAAAGTACACATTTGATTTTTTAAATCTGTGCTCCCTCTTATATCATTTTTCTGGGCTGGTTCGTTTTTGTTAATTTCTTAAAAAGGATTGAACTGCTAAAAGTGTGTGTGTGTGTGTGTGTTGGTGGGTGGGGAACTGTAGCGACCAAATCAGTTCAGATTTAAATTTCAATGTTGGTTTCTTTTCTTTGGCAAGTTTGGCCGGGATAAGGATGAGGCCTACTACAGACAGCTGTACCCAAGTACAAGAACTTTTCAGAAACCCCTAGGACTGCACCAACCTAAGCTGGAAGGGCCTGGGGATCTGGATACTGTGTGGGGCCCTCAGCAAATCCCACAACTCTCATGGCTTCCCCATCAACACTCAATACACGGACCGCCTCCAGGGCCACATGGCCTCCAGATCCCACATTCGGCAGCCCCAGAAAGCTCTAGAATGAAAGACCTTCCTCCCCAAAGCCTAGCCAACCTTACCAGAGGCAAATCCTGGGTCTCTCACAACAGCAGCACCTTCCTCGCAGGTCTCTTCTATGACTGTCTGTGCATCTAAGACAGGAGGCAAAAGCGAATCAAAACCTGAAGGGGCAGAACCTTCTATACTTCCTGCTTGCTGAGTCACAAACACTATAGGAAGAAGGCTGGCTCTGAGCAGCTTGAGTGGCACTGTCTACTTCTCCAGCTGAAAAGAGCAGGCTGGGGTGTATGGAGCACAGCTAGTCAGGAATCCTGGACACCTAACTTTGGTCTGGCTGCGACTTTGGATGAGTCATTTAACTTCCTGAACCCATTTCCTCCCTCCACATGAACAATTTAGACCAAATGATAACCAAGAACACTTTCTCTTCATGTTTCAGAATCTTAAAGATTTTTCTGTGCTAACCAACATGACTTTAATTTTTTCATTCAATAAATATTTCATGAATGCGTTCCAGCACCAGAGAAGGAGTAATGATATCTAGAATATTCCAAAACTGCCTACAAATCAACAAGAAAAGGAAACTCTGTAGTGGGACAACAGGTATGAACATGGAATTCCGGGTTGCAGACACTCAAATAGCGAAAGTGTAGGAAGGCATGCGTAAATACATTGGCAGCCTGCAAAATGCATTTGTCCCTGTTGGTTGGCAAAGGTTTTCAAGTTGGATCAGGCTAGGGATTGGTGGGCAGGTGGAGCTGTGGAAGGTTTGGGGCTTGGTCTGATCGGCATCACATCCCCACCAGCAACTCTTCTGCCATGAACCAACTATGTTCTCATATTGTCCTCAGTATTTGTGAGAGCCGGAAATGTGAATCTGATTTTTATGCATTGTATACGTGCACCCAGTTACCACACCATACCCCAAAAAGGTGTTCAAATATTTGTGTCAATCTAAAAAAATAAAAAGACTTGGCATCGCGTAACAATAAGCACCAGTTTGAAATTGGTACCAGCAAAGTCGATAGAACCGGAAGAGCAGGGTGCTCACTTAAAAAAAAAAAAAGTAAGAAATGAAATGAGCAAACTAAAATAGGACTAATATCAATATGTGAAGATAATTGTGAACACTTACTGAGTACCTTAGTAGTGCCTGTCAGTATTGTTAGTGGTTGACAGGCCTTATCTCCTTCAATTTTTACAATGCTCTTGGGATGTATTATTTAATTTAATTTAATGATGAGCAAACAGAAGAACAGAGAAATTACTTGCCCAAGGTCACGTAGTTTTAAAAATAGCATACACATCCCAAAACACACTTTGATATAGATTAATTCAGGGACTCATGTGAAAAGCATTAGAGAGCTGTCCTGGAAGATCAAGAGGGTGAGAAGGAAGGAGAGGGCTGTGGGTGTCAAAGAGGAGGACTCCAGTCATCTCCAGCCCACAGAATGATTAACTCAGATCCAAACAAAAGAGAAAACAAACATGAGTCGATCAATATAGTTTTCTGCAATTCTCCAAACTGGTTCAGAGACAGTGTCTTGGGCTGAGGCTGGGGAGACTGTGGGGACGGAAGTGCAACAGATTCAAAGAGTGTCAAGGCAGTCACTGTGATTCAGAGGAACCAAGGAGATGTGGACACAGCAGAAAGTGTGTCCCCCCTGGGCAGGACAGGGGGAGGCCTCTGGGTTTCCAGTAGAAGAAGCCACCACTGCACCAGGCACTCACCTGATCCAACCTTTTCCGGAACCATCCCAGTCACCACGTCCCCCAAACTGCCTAATTCCAAATGCTTCAATATCCAAGACTCGTCCACAGGGGAGAAAATCCCCGAAAAACAGACTGGTGGGGGGCGGGGACTCCAGGAAGAAGCTTTCTTTTACTTTCGATCACTCTACCGGCTTGTCTGCCTCCTCCAGCTCCCTTCTTCCTGTTTCTCTGTTCTCCCGTCCAGAATGTACTAGTGAATTTAGCAGGATTTTTTAAAATTACCAGAGATAAAGCAAGGAGCACCGGTGAAAGAAAACATTTCTTCCAGCAGAAGGGCAGACTCTGGTCTTTGGCAAAAGAGAAAGAAAAATTCTCAGTCAAAAGAACCAGAGTCAACTTTACACCCCAAACTGGAAGGACAGAGATGACTGGCTCCAACAGGAAACTTTGAATATTTAAAGGAGCCTGTGCTGATTTCCAGCCTCTCCAGAGGGAAATGACAGCTAATTCAATGCACCCACTGCCAACAAGGAAGCTGGACATACTTTGTTGGCAAGCATTTGAGACTCCATTTAGTATAAATAAATAAAACGGCAAATTTTATGCTGTTAATTCTTTGCAGTGAGTCCAGGGGTGGGATTTTCCCTCTGTGCCCTGGTCCAAATCTCAGCCTGAAATCATTGACCAGCCTCTTCCCCAAGATCATATCACAGGGGCTCTTCTTAAAGGATCAAAGCTGGTCTGTAGCTGAAACGTGGGAAAATTGTACACTCGCTAAAAGGAGAAGGGGTTCTGGCCCAGTATGGACAATACTAGAGTCCCTGGCTATGTTCTCAGAAATTGTAGCTCATGTGATTGTCGAGGTGAGCCTGGAATAGAAGTCATGTGAGTGTGATCTGGCCTAGTCCCTGAGCCCCACACCCTCTCTTTGCCACTCTCAACCTGTTTCCTGTTTGAATTTTTCCTTTTGCCTTCAAATTGTGTACATTTTTATAAACAAGGCAGTAACACTGGAGCCACAACTGTACACTGCATCCCTTTTTGTGAACTGTGACTGAGTCTCACAGTAGTGCAGGGGATTATTCTCCCATATTATGGATGACAAAACTGAGGCTCAGTCACATGGATTGAAACACCATCCCAAGACAAGGCTTTTCCCACTATCTGATAGAACTTGAGCACTTTAGCACTCCAGGGGTGGAGGAGGTGTAGACCTAACCTTCCTCTCTCTCTCTTCCAGACTTCCAAATTGCCAAATTCATTAACCACCTTCATAGGTGCCATCTTGTTCCTATGAAAGTTGTGGTCAAGTGGAACATCTGGGAAAAGGGATGTGAGATGCACCACGGGGGCTCTCCTGGCCTCGGCACTAGAGGCTTCTGCTCTCCTATACTCCATCCGGCCTTACATGAACTTCTGACTTCCACTCATACACTTTGCCACCTATAGGGACTTTTGGCTGGTTGACCCTTTGGTAAATAATGACATTTATACTCTCAGCACTATTAGAGTATTTCTTTTATAAAAGTCATGTTGTCACCTGCCTTTCACCTACCAATGAAGATGCACATGTAGGTATTAGTAAGAGATTTCCAAGAATTCAAATATCCCCATTCATTGAGCACATGGCACTATACCAAGTAAGATGGTGTTGTGGTTTAGATGTGGGGTGTCCCTCTAAAGTTCATGTGTGAGACAAGGCAAGAAGGTTTAGAAGTGAAATGATTGGGTTATGAAAGCCTTAACCCAATCAGTGGGTTAATCCCCCGACAGGAATTAACTGAGTGGTGACTGTAGGCAAGTAGGGGTAGCTGGAGGAGGTGGGTCATTGGAGGCATGCCTTTGGGGTATATATATATATATTTTTAAAATATTTTTTAGATGTGGATGAACCTTTATTTTATTTATTTATTTATATGTGGTGCTGAGACTCAAACCCAGTGCCTCACACATGCTAGGCAAGCACTCTGCCACTGAGCCACAACCCCAGCCTTGGGGTATATGTTTTTTGAGCTGAGCTTAGTTTCTCTCTCTCTCTCTCTCTCTCTCTCTCTCTCTCTCTCTCTCTCTCTCCTTCTTGGTGACCACATCCCCAGCTGCCTTTCTCTGCCACACCTTTCTACCAAGATGTTTTGCCTTGTCTTGGGCCCCGAGGAATTGAGTCAACCATCTGTGGGCTGAGACTTCTGAAACTGTGAGCCCTAAAACAAACTTTTCCTCCTTAAAATTGTTCTTGTCACGTCTTTTGGTCACAGCAATAAAGAAGCTGACTAAAACAGATTGGGAACCCCAAATAGGCAGATAATCAATCTCATTCTCAGATTGATTGCCAGGTATGATATTGCTAACTCTGCTCACATGAACATGTGCTTCAAGCATATGTTGAGATAATTGAATCAGAAAGTGTCCTGCACAATTTGTCTTTGACCCTCACTGAGATTGTTAATAGTACTACTTTAGCTTCAAAGGCATGACAGAGCCTCAAATTCCTCAAATAATATTAGAAAAATGCATAGCCTTTCTGCTGGCCAAGGAGAGGGCTATTTAATTGGCAATGACTCATTTTGTACCTGGATCAACAAGCTTGCCAAAGTAAAACCATTGACAGGCTTAGGAAAAATTCTCTCTCTAAAGTAGACCTAGTGGATTACCTTTTCTTGGCTTGTCCATGTTGGAGCTCGGGGTTATGCTGTATCCTCCAGGGAGGCTTTATCATGCTGCTTGGAGTGATCTTGATCATGACCCCGGTCTGTTGTGACCTCAGACTATTAACCTGATTCAGCACACAGGCCCTCAAAGACCAACCCATTTGGATCCATGAATTATGGAGATGATTATAGGATTTTTCTACCACAGTGTCTTAAAAGGATCCATGATAGAATAATCTATGTTCCTCTTATGAGTTTCAAAAAATCAAAAGATGAAGTTGAGGAGTCTGGTTTCAGGACCAAATCCTATGTTGGAATATTTCTGGCCTGACTATAGGCAATTACAAAGGCTTTACCTGGCAGGCCTCCCAAGGGAAAACTACCCTCCCCACACAAGACTCAGTGCAGAGGCAGTGGGTGGCAGTGTCTGAAGGGAGGCCCAGCCAGGAAACTTCTGCTCTCCTCAAGTTGACCACAGCTTATGAGTGTTCAATGAACTTCAAATCCTCTAACTCGTTGGAGTGTGATGATTTTTATCAAGTTAGGACTTTTCCTTTGGAACCAGGCACAGTGTCACACACCAGGATTCCAGCTACTTGGGAGACTGAAGCAAGAGGATGACAAGTTCATAGTCAGTCTTGGCAACTTAATGAGACCATATCTCAAAATAAAAAATAAAAAGGACTAGTGATGTTGCTCATGGTAGAGTGCCCCTGAGTTCGGTATCCAGTCCTAAAAAAAAAAACAAAAAATTACAGAAGAGGCATTACATTATTAAAAAAAATTTCAGGTTTTATGGAGATGATTATAGGATTTTTCTGCAACAGTGTCTTAAAAAGAAATTATTTATGTTGTGCTTGTGGATTCAGGGGTATGTGCATCTTACAAACTGAATTGGGATCTGGCTATAAATATAACCAGCCCATGTGGAAGAATAGAACATTCTGAACCACTTTTATTTTAGAATGCTGCCTGATTATAGAATTGCAAACAAAGCCAATTAAAAATTGAGTTAGAAATTTTTTTTTCTGTCTTCTGTCTACCTCAATACAGAAAATTTCCTGAGTGTAAATTGATCAAAAATTTCTTTTTATTACTTATTAAATGGAAATGCAATTTGACCTTTTTATGTATATGAATTCTTTTTCATCATTTTATAAATTTTATTTTATGGTGGTAAGAACATTTAAAAGAAATATAACCCCTTAATAAAAATTTTCAGTGTACAATACAGTACTGTGGATGATTCTGTACAATGTTGTACAGAAAATCTCTAGAACATACTTATTTTGTTTAACTGAAGCTTTATGACCATTTCACCTACTCCCCAGCTCCATTTTTCAATTGCATAAGTTTAGCTATTTTAGATAGCACATATGAGCAGAATCATGCAGTATTTGTCTCTGTGACTGGCACATTCACTTAGCACAATGTCTTCAAGGTTCATTCTTGTTGTCACAAATGGCAGAATGTCCTTCCTTTTTAAGACTAAATGATATTCCATTTTCTTTATTGTGCTCGTTCATATCTTGGTGGGAATTTATGTTGCTTCCACAACTTGGCAATTGTGAATAGTACTTCTCTGAATAGGGGAGTGTGATATACTTTTTTTTTTTTTTAATGCTAGGGATTGAACCAAGAGCCTTGTACATGCCAGGCAAGTGCTCTAATATGGAGCCATATCACTGGCCCTTGTAATATACTTTAAAATCAGGGGGTGTAATACCTCTCTAACTTTATTCTTCTTCCTCAAGATTATTATTAGCTTGAGAAAATCAAAGATGGTGGAATAGAGGAGGTCATGTTCCTGGCTGCCCTGTGGCATGAAATCACGAAAGCAGACAGGCAGCTTCTCTGCAAGGTGGGTGAACAAAATAAAAGTGGGATGGGGGAGGGGGGTACTTACTGGAATTTAAAACTGGACATTCAAAGCAGACAGGGGACATAGGGGGTTGTTTATAATTGAATAAGGAAAAATTCCCAGAGGCACAGCTGCTGCCACAGCCGGCAGGAAGCTCCAGCCAGAGAGGTCCCTCCATGAGCATAGTAGAGAGATAAGGGAATTAAAGGAACCCACATTTTAGGGAGGCTTGAGGCATGTCTGGGTACAGAGTGTTTAAAGACCAAGGTCGTTGCCCAACAAACCTGATGGATTTGATGCAGGATGTTCGTGGGTGGGGAAAAAAGCCTCCATCTCTCCAGGCAGCATGTGGAGGACAACGGAAGAAACAATTTTGCAGCTGTGTTGTGGGGACCAGCAACAGAGGAAGCCAATTCCTGGCAAACCTGAGTTTAGCCTGAAATATAGGCCCAGTGAACACACGCAGCATGACCTAGACTGTGCTTAAGTGACCAGAAAAAAAAATCAAACATGGAGAGGGGTTTACATAGGGGACAACTGGTTGCAGAAACCCACTCAGCTCTACCTCTCCCCCTCCAATCCGACTACTTGCAGAACTGGCTGGGAGAGACACATCTGGCCAGGAACCTGGAAGGGCAGGCGCAGAGGAAATTGGAGACTGAAAATGAGACAAGGAAACATGAGGTCTGCAGGTAACCTAGGAAACTAAGAATTGGTTCCCCTACCACACGAGTGGAACCCAAGGGGAAATCCCTGGGGTAAAGTCTTCAAATGTGGACCAGCAAGTAGTGGGTGCTGGAGATGTGCTGATATAAAATCTCCAGACCAAATACTATTCAGCAAAGAGGCTGGAGCCCATCAAGCTTAAACCTGGCCTCCAGGAACTCTCACTCTAGCATTCCAGACGGTGGAGCA